TTTAGAATTAATAGTACGATTAAACAATTCTACTATTTTCTATTTAATTTATTTATAAATTAAATACATATATAATTTAGATATTATTTAGATTATGCAATTGATCATTGTTTTTTCTTTCTTCTTAAAATAATATAACTTCGATTAAATTATCAATTTATATTCAATATAGAAAAAGAAAAGAAAAAAAGAAAAAATCTAAATTAGCTTGAAAATACTTTAAAACAGAAATTCTACTCTCGTTTCGCATATGTATGTAAATACGTAAAACTCGAGCATAAGTGTGCTACTTTATCTAACAACTTTTATCAATACGTGTGTATCGTATTCATGTATCTCTCGTTTGTTATATTTTTCGATGGAATAAATGATTCTCCTACTTTTATTAAGAAAAGTAAGATCCGATGAAACGATAAGGGAAAGAATAAGAACACGATTGGACGAAGAACTGAGGTCAAATTTAAAGAGACATAAGAGAGATCAACACGATACAACGAAGACACGGAATTTTAAAATGGGTGATATCTATCTATCGTTTAGAAAAAAAAATTGACGAAGCAAAATTCGCGCGTATTTATATTCATAAATAAATAAAATAGAATATTATTTTGTTAAAGGGTTGGGTGAAGGGGGAGACTTAGTTTATCCAGGCATAAAGTAAACGATGATACATGCTCGATAAACGTCATTGGTTCGAGACTTGCCAGACGATGACGTATTTACAGACGCCTGGTGTCTATTTCTTTGGGTCTGATAAGTTTCTTGCTTATATATAAACTATATATAATACTATTCATGATACTTGTGCTTACTTACTCACGTGGTGTTGAAAGAACACGAATAAAACGGTTATACACAATTATTATATATGCCCGCATCCTGTGAGCGTCACTCGATGCTCTAGTATTTCTGCTTTTCTTCAAAGAGGATCTAACATGAAAGAAAATGGAACACCCAAGAGGAAGAACAAGAGAACTTTGACCGATGTTAATAAAAAATTATTACACAAATATAACTCGATTATAAATTATACGCGAATGTTCTGTTCTTGCATATATGAACAACTACTAGATATCATTTTCAACCCTTCAGTTTCATCGAAATAATAATACTCACAATTAGTGAGAAATATCCTTTGGTGGTTAACGATAATGGTCCACCCAGATCGACTGTCAACGTCATCAAAAGCGTTTTACTATCTCTATTCTAATCATCGTGAAAGTTAAAACTACGATAAAATGTATATATATGTACATAAACGAACAATGCAATTCACTTATTATACAAACTCTTGGCTAATAGGAAAAGTATAACTGCTTACTCGTAAGAATTCGATTCACTTTTTACGATCGAAATAAAGATTATTCAACTATACTGCTGGCATCTCGATTTTACGTAACGTTTCTCGTATATCAATTCCGAAATGACGAGACTTTGATATTCGTGAATCGAAGTTATAGTTTGATTAAAGTTACGACTACAAATCTCATCGATCTCTTTTTGCTCGTCCTTTTCTTTGTTTTTCGATTTGTCACGTCGCGGTGTCTTTTGATATATTTTTTTTTCATCCCCCTTATTCCATTGCCGCTTCCGGGCAAATTACCGCAACCGCGTCATAAATTGTACTCGTGAAACGATATTATTATGGCCTTTGACATAGGATATAATATTCGGGGATTGGTCCGAGGTATTTTGAAATGATTTATACCAATTTGAAGCTTAAGTCGAAATAAACGCCCCATAGTGGAGGTGAACTAAAGGGCTGAGAGAAAGGGATGGTGTTAGAGTAAGGTTAAAGGTCAGGGCGTTAAATTCATAGCAGGTCACAAAGCTGCCGGAGGGCGTGTATGAACGAAGGAAACCTTTGCTTGGATGAAGTAACTTGTGACAAACGTTATATATCCTTTTTTATCCATATCTTTCTTCTTCTCACTTATTCTTCCACATATTTCTTGTCTTTTTCGTTCTGTAACTGGGTAGCAAAATTATTTGTTCATATATATATATATATATATATATATACAAATTTGATTATGGAGACAAAAATAAATTTGAAAATTTGTGTCGATTAATATCGTCGTACGTTTTGTTTCACTCTGTATAATTTGACATGAATTCGAAACAGGAAACATTTAGCTGTTGCAAAGTTTAACCTTGATTCGTTGTTACTTGTCACGTTGCTTTTAAATATAAACGAGCATCTACCGAGCAGCAACATTGTTGTTTTTAGAACGTGAATTTATATAAACGTTATATTTCTTTATATATACAAACAGACATTTGACAAACAAGTAATATGTATTTATAAGGGGAGATGTAACATAACATGTAACATGATCTACGACGTGGATAAATCTTTTCGAATTATTCCGTAAAAGATGACACGGTTACAATTAGGTCAAGTTGTGTACAATATTACAAATCTTCAATAATTTGAAATTGAGATAATTTAATTGAAAAAAAAAAATATTATTAATTAAATTTTATTTGTAATTCTTGTGGTTCAACTAATAATATTATTTTAAATTTGTTTTAGTAATATTCTTAAAATAGAATTATAGCTTGACAATATATGTTTTTTCCAAAATTATTGAATTAGTACTTTTTAAATGTTAATTTGAAAATCATCATGAAGTTTCCTTATAACTCGGCCCAATTATTGTAAAATGTAATAAATAAGCTACCTGGTATTCATCGAAGAATAGACAGATTATAAAAATAAGTTATCATAGCTTATAAAGTAAGAAACTGGTAAGAAACGTGAGGGGAGATAAGTAGAATAAAAAGCAAAGACATAAGAAGTCCACTACTTATCTACGTAAGCATAATACCCAACCAGTGACAGAAAGAATTGCATAATACTAATTGTATAAGTAAGAGAGTATATAAATAATATATAAGAAAGAATAAAACTTGATTCTCTCTCATTGAATTTATTTCTCATTCTTCTCGGTCATCTTATTTTGAGCTCGTAGTTCGATATCAGAACACGACTTCGTCTTTGGCGCCTTTGCTATCAGAAAAAAAGGAGAAATGTAAGCGTAACCAGAAGAGATCGGGCTTTTGCCTGATGACTCATTTGGTCGGTCATTTTTATTGATTAGTTTGGAACGTTTTATCAATCGTGGGTTGTCACCCGATAACACGGATCACGCCGGAACAAGGATATGCAGCTATGTTTATGATTCATTTTCTATACTGACATGAGAGGCGCCACAATTGTACACACACACATATATCTTATTATTGTATGCATTTTACGAATGCACACTTTTGTGTACACCAATATTTAAACGGATTGTATTTGTGTATTTCTGTAGATCTATATCATAGAAACAAATATGTTAAGCGTTAATTATATATAATAAAGCAAGCGCGTATTTTGGTCGGCTTCCTGCCCACTCTACGTTAAATTGCATTATATTAAAATAAATAATGATAATAATAATAATAATCTACTAAATAGAATAATAACATTAAATTGCACTGAAATATATTGCGAATGTATTTATTATGTCATAGCGGCGAATATCAAACAGTTAAACAAATCGCAAAATCGGATTTTCTTTTTTTTTGAGAAGAATTTAAAAAATATTATTCAACGTTTAATTATCAGCGTAATAGTTTTTGAAAATTCGTAACATTATCGATAATAATTGGTAATTTTTTTTAAGCTAAAATAAATGAATTAATTGTTTGTGATATTCGCACAAAAAGTATATGCTGCCGATAATGTAGTTTTCTTCTCGAAGGTGGCAGCACAATATGGGAATAGTATAATACCACCATACGATGTTTCGTAATTGTGTGCTCAACTAATGCGATTAGACGAATAATAAAAAGCTATTTTCATGATAATCCTACAGATTTTGATTTCAGTAGAGTTAAATGTAAACATTTAAATATCTCTTCAAAATTCTAAATCGTAATGAAACTTTCACGAACGATGCCTTCTTTATCTATTTTCATGTTTAACTCTCTCAATTCGAGTAATTCTCCGAGGAAGTTGAACTTCGACAAAAGCTAGAACTTTTATTTGTATTTTAAGCGTACGTTGACGCAAATTGAAAAAAAAAAAATTCTTTGCGAATAAGATGAAAAGAAAGAAGAAGAAGAAAAAAAGGAAACAAGGAGTCAAAGAAATTGAACAATTTAAATAGACAAAAAATTACTATTCAATTAAACGATGTAAAAAAAAAAGAAGAAGAAAGATTTTTGTTTAATGTACCTTGATCTTGAATTTTGTCATGCGTTATTTAAATAATGACTCCATTAACGGTATCTCATTAAAAAAAAAAAAAAAGAAAGAGTTGAGATGGTTCGCAGTTTGAAAAGCTTATGGAGAGAATAACAGGAGACAAACTATCGATTAACTGTCTCTAACACGTTACATCTCGAGTCTGGCCGACATTGTCTTTCGATATGCGATATCGTCACCCGTGTTGTTCGCTAACGTCGTGAATGTGCATCGTTCTCAGTTTCACATGAGAAACACCTGTATATTAGTATTTTTAGATATTAACCGATGTGATCTAGAAAGTAGAGAAAGAAAGAAAAAAAAAGAGAGACAGAGAGAGAAAAAGAGAAAATAAATTCTATAACATCGATACGAAATGTTTGTGGTAAGTAAACACACAAAACACACAAGTTACATTCCCCCACTCTTCTTTTTTAATATATCACAAGTAAATACACATACACACATATATACATACAGTATATATTTTAACTAACCAAATAAAAAGAAAGAAATCGATTTTAATTATCGTGGGAAGACATTTCGTATATCCGTTACTCTTAAAATAATAACCTGGCTAGCGACCAGATTTATTATCCTACCTACCATCTTTCTTTTCTTTTTGTTTCTTTTTTTTCTTTCTTTTCAATCTATTTCCCATTTTCATGGTAGAAGAAAGAAAATTTAGCAATCTTCGTTCTTTTGAAGCTTTAAAAGAAAAAACATATAACACACACACACACAAAAGAAAGAATATACTTACGACAATCATCTCGGAGGGTTCCAAGACGAAACATTCGTTGGGTCTCCTGGCACTGCTGCCCGTTCGCTTTCCAAAGCTAAAACAGAGAAGAAACAAAAGGAAACTTTTAATACCACTCTTTTCTATGTTTTCCTATACTTTTTTCTAGTACTAGTCTTGAAAGATGGATGTAAAACGCGAAAGGAGAAAAATAACTATTGAAAGAAAGAGAGAGAGAGAGAGAGAGGGTGAAAGAGAAAAAGAGGAAAAGAGGAAAGAAAGTGAGAGCATCATCTAAGGCTCTCATCAATTTAAATAACCTTTTAACTGGTGACGCGTACCTAGGTACGAGTATAATTGATGACTTCGGGTCTTTAGGACCCTCATGTCAAGATCACATTTTAATTCATTATTTTAATATTAATGGAACACCCTACGTATAATTTGTAAAGATTCATAAATATTAATAAATAATAGTTATATTTATGTAACACATATAAAATAAAGAAATATATTTATTAATAAAAATCATTGGACAGAAAAAATACAAATTTTAAATGAAGTAATCGTCAGCTTGGATCATACTCTTTTTAATCCGATATCATAAACATTAAAGGTTATCATTTTGAAAAAGAATTATGCGTTTGATACTTGATCCTATTTGGTTTAAATTCGTGACAGTATTTTAACGCTTATACGTAGGTATAAATAAATACCTACGAACGTGATCGAAGTAAAATGTAATTTATCGCTATGGCCATTCTACTATTCTCCCTTTTCGTTCTTCTATAATTCGATATAGTTCCGAGTATAGTCACACAACAAAGAGAACGTGTTCGCGCGATCGTATAAATACGTATTGTTCGCTTGGTAACTTTTAGTGCGTCCCCTTTCACCCTCCCGCACACCTCCCTATTAACCCACCCCACCTGGCCCTCCTCCACCTCCTCCTCCTTTTGCCCTCTTTGTTACTCTTTCTCTTTCTGCTTCCATGGGTAATCAATTCGAGTCCCCATATACATCCGACAGATGTAGCCCATCGTCGGGAAGCCACTCCTCAAATTAGCCATAAACCATGTCGGTTTTCGGTTGCCCCATCCATCGATTTACGAAAATCTCGTGCGATTACAGGGAAAGTCACGAGGGCTAGTGGTGGGTTGGTGTCCATAGCTTTGTTTGCTTGCTTTCTCTCTTTCTTTTTCAAGTATCACCACACCACACGACGAACAATACCAACGTCATACGAACTTTCACCCTCGTGGGAGAGAAAGGAAGAAAGGTGGCCCTGAAAATGGTTTTCGCGTGCCTTTCCAAGTCATAAAGAGGGAAAGGTATACATGTGACAATGAAATAAAAAGAACAAAAAAAGAGGAGGAAAAGTATAAGGGGTTTTAAGCCCAATGAATTTTTTTTATTTCATTTCCTTTGTTTTTGTTTTTGATTTTAATGCTAATGAATCATTATTGTCATTAAATAAGAATACTAGTATACGTGCCGTTAACGTTATCCTTCAAGACAAATATTATTTATTTGTTTATATTCCATTTCTCACGGTGAGTTTATATTTTTCAAAAATTAAATAAACAAATATAAACGTAAGCATATTTGTAAATGATTTTTATATTCCTTCTTTAGTCCAATAATAATAATAATAATAATAATAATAATAAAAATAATAATAATAATAATAATAGTAATAATAATAGTAAAAGGGGTAATTCTTATATGAGAGGATCGTGTGTTGGAATTAAAGAGAAATGTTATTAGAGAATGCGATTAGCAATTCGCATAACATTTTCCGGTTTACAAGTAAAAGCGGTAAATACTCAGGATTCTCTAATCTCGTTATCAACGGATTTTAGAAAACAATGGCGAAAAGATAGAAAACCGATTAAATATCCTTCTACGTTAAAGCTAAAGTTTATAGGAAAATCGTTGGCTATAACATAATAACAAGCCAAATATTGTTATTTATTCCTCAGGTTAAAATTGATCCGTGATGCGATATTGAAGGGCCTTTACCCGTTGTTCGTATTAAATAGAGATTAACCAGCTTTTCCCCGCCTGATACTCGTACTAAAAGTTCTTCTAGTAAATTACCTAGAATTAGTACCAGAATTAGTACCAAACTTGTAAGACCCTATTCGAACGTTCGTGTATTACATATTTATTTTTTGTAAAAATTAATTTCATTTTTATGTTTTTTTTTTCTTCAATGAACACCACTACCATTCCATGTTACGAAATTATTACATATAAGTATTATCAATAGAAATATTAATAATTCTCTTTAATATCATTTTATTTCTTTTTTTATTTTCAATGAACGTCACTATTGCATTTTACGAGATCATTACATATATAAGTATCATTAATAAAAATATTAATAATTATCCATAATATTATATTTCTTTTTTTTTCCAATGAACATCCATTGTACGTGCTAAAGGATTATTCAATTAATATTACCAATAAAAATATCAATAATTCCGTATAACTTGGATTTGACCAAGTTCTATATAAAGATCGTAATTATCTCTCTGATTAATATAAATATAATAATAATTAATTATTTGATTAAATATTAGTATTACGTGAAAGCCTGTCAGTAGTATAAGAAGAGTTCGATTTCCCAACCCCAAAGAGATCCCGCTGATCGAAGCTCGATCGAGCCGAAGAAGGGAAGGCCGTAAGGTTGTCGAAGGCTGTTGACCTGATCCCTCTTCTCTTTCTATCTCACACACACACACACACACACACACACACACACACACACACACACACACATATAT